CTTGCTAGAGGGAAAACGCACATCCTCCCGTCTGGCCTGATGCAGTCGGCGATCGCGAGGCCTCAAACAACATATTTGGACGATTCTAAGAGGTGGCCACTGGCACGCGCAAAATTCTTTGGCTGCGCAGCAGTATCGAGCATGCATGCTGGAACAGGGGTGGCAACGCTCTGGTGGACTGATTCAAATGCATGGCGCCAGCTCCAGCTAAGCAGTGAACGTGGAAGGATGATTGTATTGACCTTGACTGGTACAATGATTGCTGCAACTCCTGATATGTTGGGCTGATGCTGCGTGCATGATCAGAGTTCGTTGACCAATCTGAGCATGTCTGAGCATGCAAACGTCGCTCCCAGCCTCGCCGACCCGGCTATGCTTGCGCTTGTAATCGCGGGCATCCTGCCGCAGTCAAGTTCAAGGGTCGACTCTCAATCCTGCATGCTTGGCTTGCAGCCTCTTTCAATGGCAGCTGAGGTCATGGCCAGACGGCTATGCTTGCTCTTCATTGGTTCAGATTTTTTTAGTGCAGCTAGACAAGGAATAGGAGCCTGATTCCCAGGTGCGGAATACGGACCGTGCTCAGTGCGAAGAGTTTTCCGAATCCGGTGCCGCTGCGGTTGTTCAGCGCAAGCGAAATCGGACAGTCCCCTCCTCTCGGACGGTGCGCCGTCGCTGCTCCAGCATCTGCTGCCTGGTCAAACAAAAATCCAAAGCCCCCCCCCCAGATTTATATCCAACCTTATGGACTCTTAGGACGAGGATATAACTCAGTATGCATAGTTTCTGACCGTATCAATCATTGCGCAACCTAGAATGGAAGCTAACTTAGTTGCGACTCGCCAAATGGTTCATATGACGGGCCCTGCTTTTCGCTCTGTATATGTGTTGCATGTGGACTATGTATATATATATATATGCACATGAGCTGGATCCAAGATGTTTTAAACAACAATTATGATAGTTCCTACGCCGCTCGCACGCCCTACTCGCACACTCCACTCGTACACTCGTCAAAAACCACTCGCTCTCTATTTGGCAAAACCTATTTACAACCTCTTGGCACCAGCTAGCATATATAGCATATATGTATATATATATATATATATGTATGTATATATATATATATGCTATATATACATAATATATATATAAGGACTTACTTGCCCAGTGGTCATGGGAGGGAAGGACTTCTAACGAAAACAATTGCCGCTAGGCACCTGGAAGTTGCTTGGGACCGCAACGCAACGCCCGAAGCCAATCCCAATAATGCAACGTCTTTCAACAGATGCATTGGGCTGCAAGGGGAATCCCTTTCAGTAAGGGTGTTTCACTCGCATCAGGGCTAAGGTTTGTTTCTTTCGTGAAGATGCTGTAAATATGAGATGCTCGCAACTTGATCACTGTCCAGAATCATATCTCAGAAGCAAACATGTTGCAAACGTGCCTTTGCATGCTCCAAAGGGCCTGTCTCCATGCTCTCCTCACCAACCACGATAAGCATGTTCAACAGGAAGGCAGGCAAACGGGTAAACAAAGCCAACCCTCCCGTCCCTAAGAGAAAGCCATGCAACTTGAAACCAGCAGAACACCCGCTGGACTGCAGGCTTTGACGCCACCCCAGGGCCTTTCCGGACTCAGCCGAGGGCTCAGGGCGAAGCGCGGCGAGCCTAGTCGGCGTAACCGGAGGCCCGGAGGTCTGTTCCCATATTGGCAACTTGCCAGCTCACTCCACCCCAACTATCCATCCAAATGGGTGTGGCTCAAAATTAAACAGGGGGGGGTTCCGCAGGTTTTGGCCTTTGTTTCCACTTGCTAGGGTTCCATTTTGGTACCGGTTTTTGAGCCACTGCCAAATCACCAAAGGGGCCTCAACCTACCAAGTTTTAGACATAAATAACCACCCAATTTTGACAAGCCACTCCCTTTGGCACACCAGTCGGCGCCCGGCATGGAGCATCCACAAAAGGTACAGAACATGTCATAAACATCTATGGAAACATCCTTCCCAGATGGGCACTTGGCGCCCTTTGTTTCTCTGGCAGCCGGGAGACTCCACAACTTCAGGCAAGGAGCGACGGCATCAAAGTAAGTAAACATGGTTTCCGTTGCCTGGAGCTCACAACTCCTTCTAATTCGCAAGTCTTGGGAATGTCTTGACATCTCAGACGCAGGCAGCTAACGTATGATGCTGAAGGCATAATTCAAGAGGTGCTGACGAGGATGTGTTGTATATACCACAAGGTCTGAACCCGTTAAGAGTTTCCAGCTGGGAATGTGATGTACTGCTGGGTGTATAACAGTACAGGTGTCGTGCGTTCTTGGTGTCTATGCCTTCAAACCTTGCAGCTGAGCAGCTCAAGGCCGCGCTTCTGTTTCGTCGCTTGTTTTCACGCTCCCACGGAGTTCAGGGTATCGGATCAATTTCCTGGTCTAAAACAACTTTCGAAAAATGAAAACTGATCGAACACATAGGTCAGATTGTCTGTTTTGGCAGAAGATACAGAGTGTAGGCACCCCACGTTTCCATCAGGTAAGAAATTCTTGCCACGTATCGCCTTCTTACGCGAGCAGAAGCTCAAAGGGCTTAGCTGGACAACAGCACATTTTCGTCTCACTTGTCCACCACCCGTGCCGCAGGCTATTGTCATTACTCTCATCATTGATATCGTCTTTCTTGTCTTTGTGTTACTAAGAAATTTTGATATGTGATCATAGTGTCATTGTCATTATGGTTATCACTACGGCTGATATCCGTTCCATTGCCATTACAGTGACGTTCGTGCCGTCGTCGTCGTCATCATCATCATGATCATCATGATCATCATCATGATCATGATAATGATCATGATCATGATCATGATCATCATCATCAACATCATCATCATCATCATCATCATCATCATCATCATCATCATCATCATCATCATCATCATCGGTAGCAGCATCAGCATCATTATCATTATTATTTCGTTCTCACTACTATCATGTATTCTCGGACCCATAGCGGATCACCAACCCACAAAATTGTATTATTGCTGTTGCCCACCCTCCGTGGCATGAAACCACCATGACAGGCCGGCATAAAAGCGAGGCAGCGTGACGTCCTAGGCTGGCAACACCGCCCACATAGGCTCTTCCCGCTGAGATCGCTCGCGGCAGTACTAGACTCTCGACCTAAGATAAAAAGCAGTGTCCAATCCAACACCTTCCATTCACCCTGTGATGACAGATGGTTGAGCAAGTCTTTCTGAAGGATGTGCTGCGGCTTTCCGGTGTGAAAGCAACACCGATGTCGCGTCAGCCGGTCAAGCTCTGCGGCCTCTTGGGAAACTCTTGATGGCCGTAAGTCGATATATATATATTATAATATATTAGTGAGTAATGACCCTGCAAGCTTCAACATGATGATGACCTTGACCGCACTCACTGCATAAGTTAGGCATTTAGTTGTCTGATTCATCAGGCTGGTGGCAAAGCAACTACAGCGGAAACACCTGCGGCAAAAAAGGCGACAGTGGATATGCACAACGTTCATCAGGGATCCTTACATTATACACCTGAACATTGCCTTGTAAGTGGTGGTTTCCCTTTATTTTGGCGGAAAACAGCCATGTTTCAAATGGGCAAACTGTAGATCTTTTGAGGAGCCCTGTTCATCCACATCATCTTGGATGCTCTGCCAGGGCTCATGGAAAGGCTGCCAAAGGAAGATCGCCTGAAAGTTTTGTCCGGGCTCTTAACTCGACTGGGCATCAAGACCTTGCATGATTAGAGTTAGGCCCAGTTATAGAATGTATATTTTTTAGTGTTTGCTTCACCTTGAGTCACTGGTAAAATGTAAAATGTATCACAAATCTACCCCAGCTTATACCTTGAATGTTTTGGGGAGCTGCGCCTCAAGTTGGATCCCCAAACAGATCAAACCATGTTCCCCCGTGCGTGCAGCTCGGACTCCTGACCCTTGACAAGCCCCTCAATGAGTCACGTGCCTGCGGCTGCCGCCGAGGGTGAGTCGGGCACCTGTGGAGAGCAGTTGCCAGAAAGCAGTAGCCAACAAATACCGCACAAATACCGCTTTCTTCTTGACAAGGTGCAACTTTGTTGGTGTCGGTTGATTCCATCTGCAAGCCAACACGACAGGGGATAGACAAAAGATGAATCACTTCTGACCAGCAACTCGAGAGTGGGCCGCTCACGGTTCACTGGAACGATCAGGGCTGGACCAGCCACTCGATTGACCATGTCTATGTCATCCAGCGGCGACGCCACATATTAGCTGTTGAGCGAATTTGCGCCATGAAACGGAGCTACTGAAGATCCCGAACAATCAAATATTGCACCTGGGGAATAGAGACAAGCGGGTGGCCCGAAGAAAAAAAGCAACCGTAAGAAAGACAAGCACCCCTCCCTGGCAGCCCAAAATCATGTTCAAACAAATTGTCCGGACACATCAAAACAGAATCAAAACAATGTTTTGAGCCCGAATGTTCAGCTTTCCCACAGTTATGTGTCCTTCAAATACTGCCCACAAGCAAACCGGCAATTCAGGCCCCCAAACTTGAGCCGAAGGCTTTATTTCAGGGGCCCTACAATGAAGTCTTGTTGCCTGGCCTCCCTGAACAAATTAGCTGCCTCTTGGCTAGTTGAGTACTTAGACAGCCCAGGTGATGCCGGCGAAGCTTCAGGCCTTGTTTGATCTGGGCCTGCTGCCCAAAATCAACGATTTTGTTGAGCTTCTTTCCCAAGCGCATAATTCCTTACATGTGTGTCTTGTTTAAGACAGCCCGCAATTCAACGAACAAAGGGGTAGTACTTCAGGGCCCCAATTTGACTTTACTTCAGGGCCCTTACAAGAAAGACTTGTTACCTGCTCCCCCGTCAAAGTCTCAAAGGACAGCTCCAGCAATACAATACTATCAACTGGAAACTCAAATCCAAATCTCAAAGGGAGTTTCCAAGATGTTGTTCCAGGTACCCCGATTCTTATCGAGGAGGGGGGCCCCCTTTTACGAATCCCAGTGTGCACAATAGGGCCACTATGGGCCACTGAACACTGGCCCCATAAGTCTGCAATGCTCAATTGAACCCACAGCAAGGGGAATAACAGCCAGTTTCCGGCTTCAACTCGCAGTTTACTTCTAGGTCCTCCAGATTTGAGAGCTTAGAATAAGGGTACCCGATTTTTTCCTGTTTTGTCTATTTTAGTATGGGACCCCTCCCAACCAACAAAGAAACGGTCAAAGGCCACCTAGCTGGACCTAGACTTCGGCTCAACCGCGCCTGGCATGTCCCGATTGGCGGCGCTGGCCGCGGCCGCGCGGCCGCCGCGGCTGCAGTGGCTGCGGCCGCGGTCACCGTCTCAGAGACAGAGCCGTGAAACGCTGCCGGCCGGTGGAGGGTGCGAGCCAAGGGATGTGTCACACATGTCAAATGCGAACCCCTCCAAGTGGCTGGCCTGTTGAAAAAAAAGGTCCTTGGATTTGACACCAGCCAAGACTCAGCCTCCTGTTTGCAGCTATGTGATATTCTGAAAGCTTCGGGCTGCATGACTGGCCCAACTTGGCGCTTTCGAACAGATCTTTCCAGCTCGAATGCTCGGATGTGGAGTCGATTGTCGCCTTGTCTGGCTTGTTTGCGGCCAAATGCCAAGCCATGACAAATCTCCCTTTGGCAAACAGGCACCACTGTTGGATTCGCAAACCCATCAAGCGGGGGCTTGAACGTTTCAACCAAGACGATGGCTGGAAGCATCTGCTGGTTCGAAGCTGACAGCTTGACATGATACCTCCGAAGCAAAGGGCTTCTCCGTGAACCCTCTTACTATCCACAAAGTGCAGCAACTTAAGAAATCAAATACAAGAACTTGGTCGGAGCCAAGTTGCATAAACAAAAACACTGAATGTAATACCCAAAGGACCCAGAAATAAAAAGGTTAACCTTTTGGCACCTCCACTAAAAATGGACCAAAACGGGAAAACCAAAAGGTCAAAAGGTCGATTCGCTTTGAACAACTGAGTGTATCTCTTGCAATCACGGCATGGTTCAACAGCTGAGACCCACACTGGCGCACTTCCAGGTGGTGGCGCGACTCCTCACCGTTAGGAGGGGAGACCCGCAAAGAGACAAGAACCAAAGACCCAAAGATCCAAAGCAAACTAGTAAACTGGTAATCCTCTTGGGTTCTTTTTGGATTTGTAACTATTAGTAATCCTCTTGGGTTCTCTTTGGATTCGGAAGTAGTAATCCTCTTGAGGGTTCTTTTGGCAATGCTGATGTGTTTGACACCCCACACCTGCCTTGTGTGACATTGCGCTCACAACCCACAGCCCATTCTAGCTGCGAGGAATGACATGGTATTCCTCTGACACGGGAAGGCAAGTGCGTGATCCAGCATGCAAAGCGCTGCTAAACGGATTGAGGCCGGACCATTGCCTGGTGGCCGCGGTGCGCTATCCTGGCCACGAGATCAAGCACAGGTGACACGATGAGGACCACAGGACCGGCACGGCACCTGATCCTACTTTACAACAGTTGAATATGTAACCCCCGCGATTAAAAGGAGAGAAGAAAACACATGCCTTCTGAACTGCAAGTTACAGTGCTAAAACTACGTTCTCAACTTCCTTGGCGTGTTCTACAGCTGACCGAATCGTCTTGTCTTCATGCAGCAGAGTGGGGGATGTTACTGCTGGAATGCAACCGCATCCACTCTGGTTGTGCTGCTCCAGCGTGTGTTGTAGGTACAATGAAACAGTGTGCTCCACGTGGGAGGGGCAGTGTGTGTGTGTGTGTGTGTGTGAGTGTGCGTTTGCACGTACCAGTGTTTGATCATTGTTGATCAGCACGCAATCAAACAGCTAATAGGCGTGCAGTCACCTCTTTTGAAGCCTACTTGTAGGTTCTTGCATTCCAAGACTGTTCTCTGCACCGGACCCGCACACGGCAAGCAAACCACAAAGACAAATTTCATGTTTTTCCTGGGTAATAAATCCGGCCTGCGGCCGAGCCCGCTGTATGAACAGACCATCCACGTCGAACTCCTCCTGCAATGCTTGCACCCAGCCAAGGTGCTTATACTTGAGAATCAAACGTTGAGAAGAAAACAATAGCCAAGGCTCAGGAATAGCTTTCTCTTCCGGCACCCAAACAGTACCAGCATCCTCGACATTCTGCCCGTCCCGACAAGACTACACTTGCCAGCATACCAGCCTGAGCCTTAGCCTCCAGGCCTTGATTTTGGGGAAGCGTGAGAAAACGGCAGGGATTCCACACCCTGTGGATTCATATGCCTTCCTGTGGCTGTCTCAAGCCCTTGTCGGAATGAAGCTGCAACCAAAAGCACCGGAAGAAGAGAACGCAACTGGCAAGGAAGCGAAACCTTCGGGGACTCGCGCAAAGAGCCCTGGCTGAGGGTCCGAGCCAGGCCAAATATCAGGGGCCTTCACAAACCTTCCTGTAGGCAACCGGAGCTGCACAAAGCTGATAGAAAGTCAGCAGGTCAATACCGGAAAGGCGGCTAAACATTGTCAGGTGAGAAAGTCAGCAATGGAACCAACAACTGGCCAAGTAACATCAGGAAAAAACAAGCAGCACGCTGGATCAAACTAACTGATTTAATCACACACACACACAGCGGCTGGAACACCGTAACTGAGACTGACGTAAGCTACTGGAAACAGGGCAAATAGAACCAAAAACCCCAGATTTTCCAACATGTTCTCCTCCTCCAGCTGCCCTTCCTCGCTGTCCTGGCCACGTAATGAACGTGAGAGCTTGGGAAGAGCACAATGAGATAGCACCAAAATCCTGAAGGACCATCTTGACCTTCAAAATGAACAGTTGTTCGATTTGCAAGGTGGACAGATCATCATAAAACAGAGCCTTCCGCAGCCCAGCACAGCACAGCACAGCACAGCACAGCACAGCACAGCACAGCACAGCACAGCACAGCACAGCACAGCACAGCACAGCACAGCACAGCACAGCACACACCACACACCACACACCCACCCACCCACCCACCCACCCAGCCACCCACCCAGCCACCCAGCCACCCAGCCACCCAGCCACCCACCCACTCACCCACCCACCCGCCCGCCCGCCCGCCCGCCCGCCCGCCCGCCCGCCCGCCCGCACACACCACACACCACACACCACACACCACACACCGCACACCGCACACCGCACACCGCACACCGCACACCGCACACCGCACACCACACACCACACAACCACACAACCACAAGTGCCATGGAGCCGGTCCACAGGGAGGTAGTGGTCAGAGCGAGTGGTTCTGTGTGTGTGTGTGTGTGTGTTATGTGGTATGATACGTGATATATTGTGGGTGGCGTGCGGTGTGGTGTGGTGTGGTGTGGTGTGTTGTGTTGTGATGTGGTGCGGTGCAGTGCGGTGCGGAGTGGTGTGGTGCTTTGTGGTGTGGTGTGGTGTGTTGTGGTGCGGTGCGGTGCGGTAGGCTGTGGCGTGGCGTGGCGTGGTGTGGTGTGGTGTGGTGCGTTGCGGTGCGGTGCGGTGCAGTGCAGTGCGGTGCGGTGCGGTGCGTTGCGGTGTGTGTGTGTGTAGTGTAGTGTAGTGTAGTGTAGTGTAGTGTAGTGTAGTGTAGTGTAGTTTAGTGTAGTGTAGTGTAGTGTAGTGTAGTGTAGTGTAGTGTAGTGTAGTGTAGTGTAGTGTAGTGTAGTGTAGTCGTGTAGTGTAGTGTAGTGTAGTCGTGTGGTGTAGCGTAGTCGTGCAGTGTAGTGTAGTGTAGTGTAGTGTAGTGTAGTGTAGTGTAGTGTAGTGTAGTGTAGTGTAGTGTAGTGTAGTGTAGTGTAGTGTAGTTATAGTGTAGTTCTAGTGTAGTTATAGTGTAGTTGGTGTGTGTATGTGTGTTCGGGCGTGTTGTATGAGAGTGTGTGAGTGTGTGAGTGTGTGTGTGTGAGTGTGAGTGTGTGTGTGTGTGTGTGTCTGTGTGTGTGTGTGTTCGGGCGTGTTGCGTGTGGTGCCTCAACACGGGTTCTCCCGAAGGGAAAACTAGAGGTGAACATGAACACGCAACATGTACACAATGGCTTGATCTACCGCCTGTGTTTTTTTGCTTCAAGAGCAAGCAACTTCCCAACAAAATCAAGACACTCCTGCAAGTCCATCGATGGATCACTTTGTTACTCCTTACACAGCTACGTACAAACACAGTGTCACCACATCATATGTTAACTTGCCCGAACCAAACCTAACCCAGCACGACACCAGCACTATGCCAAGCAAACCTTTGGATCAAAACTTCTCAATGCGAGTTACAAGCCCTGCGAAGCCGCTGGCCATGGGTCAACATCCAGATCGTACCCCCAAACATCCCAATCCAACCACTAAAATAGGAAGCTTAACATGGGTGGTGAATTCACCTACCCCGAGATGGGATCCCATTGGCTTTGACAACCACAGCCCACTCGCTCCTTGGGATCCGTCAGGAAGGTCCGGTTCGGCAGCGGCGGGGGGTCCGGCGGGGGCTCCGGCGCTTTCGCCGCCCGCGGCGGCGCGGGCGCGGCCCAGGGCGCGTCGGACACGGCGCCGTGGCGGCCCTCGGCGTGGGCCTGACGCCTGGCGAAACCGGAAACAGAGCCGTGGTCGAATGGGCCATGGGAAAGCATCGTTTGCGGGTATTTCAGGAGAATCATCATTCCAGCTTAGAAGAAGGGTACCTGTTTTTGTTTTTTGTCAGTTTTGTCTATTTTAGCCCACAGGGCAAAACGGGCACTGGGGAAACTAGGAAACAGAGACTTGCTTCGAATGGTCTGCCAGTTTGTGGGTTTCAGAGGTCCGGGTGCATGCGGGTTTGGGATGGGTTTCTGATTTTAGGCTTCTAGGGGGTCCAGGACAAAGGTGATCGGCATCCTGGCGTGAATCAGCAAGCCAACAAGTGACAAACAAAATCACAGTAACGACAATACAAGTGAGAATGAATAACAATCAACATCAGATGCATGAAATGATACAAACATGACAGAGAAGGATGCATGGTAACTGTTCAGTAACTCCGAGTACTCGCGACCAAAGGACAATATTATTGAACCAATAGCTTTGAAGACAGTAATGAGACGCTACAAGATACAGCCACCAGACTATCCCTCAACAGCTTCCGTTGCAAACCATGCTACGCTTGGCGTGGTTCTTGCATTGGCCTTGTTGCACCGCCCAGGAACAAGGATCTGGAAAAAATCCTTCCAGGGCCAACCATTGCCCATTCCCCAGGACGGTACCAAGCGATTCCAGATTCCACCGATCACACAAAGGTAGCAAACAACTTCCACCATGCAATGCCTGGTAGAAAACTGCAGCGATCGATGCCAGAAAGCAACGAGATCCGAGGGCTTGTGGCCATGCTTTTCGTCACCAATTCGTCACCTTAGCACCACGCCTGGGAGGAGCAAACTCAAAGTCCCGCTTCCTCTGCGCGAAGAGTACCGCTGCAGTGGCCGCAGAGACCCCAGAGTTAGAGGCCTGGCCAATTGGCTGATCCAAATCTGGTTGGGAAGGAAGGCACTGGAGGCACTTGAAGCACAAAGACACACAAGTGATTTGCATGCGTGTCAATCGGTTGATCGTGTTTACAACGTGCATGTGTAATTACAATGTATGCATTACAAATACATGCATGCCAAGGCTTGGAACATAGTGCCAAGACCGGCGAACCATTTGGTCGACCCAATCAAGACATGTGATTCCAACTGCAACGTGCCATTTCGCAAAATGATGCCGAGCCCCTGGTCTCTTATCCGGGGTGCCTGTTTTTAAGATTTGTGCACGGACCGTATCCCATTTTGCCGAAGGGACACTGGTTTTTGTAGACGGGAGGCTCCGCTTGGCTGTGATACGTTGATCAGACACACTGAAATCCTCGTCAATTTCTGACTTCAGGACTGGCTGCTCCCAAACCGCTAGTGCCCGATTATTGCCAGGAGTGCTACTAATTCCCAAATCTCGCAATGTGTCTGACCATGATGCTTGCTTCCCTTGTAGTTAGGTCCTTCAGGCAGGTTTCGCCCGCCTCCAGCGCCGCCGCCCGGGCTGCGCCGTAGAGGTCGGAGCCGACGCCGGACTGCGACACATCCCGCGCCGCCAGCCGCGCCGCGCCCAGGATGTCGCTGCTGCCCACCCCGGACACGGAGAACTCCCCGGCCGCGCTGTGCGCCTGGTCTGTCAGGTTCCACGCTAATTGGTGGGAGATGTTCATTGTCTTGTAATGATGGACCCTTGCAGCCCCTTCAATGGATGTGCTTCTGGTTTGCTTTGCCACGCACTGATTGCCGCCCTTGGAATGACGACACAGTGGGAGCCAAGAAGCTGCGGCAAGCATGTCGCCGCCCTTTGGAGCGAAGAGATCCGCCATGTGTGCTCCCGCCACGGAGCTTTGCCTCGGAAGGGCCGAACAAAATACAAAGGCACTTCGGAGGTGCTCGGCCAAATCCTTGCCTCCACGAATCGAAAGACTATGATGACAACTACAAGGAACAATGACCCTGGGCCGACAGCATATCCAGGAAGAAACATGCGCTCTCTTCAACATAGCTCCCTTTCGTTGGACGGGATCCTGATGACTCGCTTGCCTTCCAGAGAATCTTGAAAGGCACCTCTATGACCACTGCCACTTTGCACAGAGACACAAGGTGACTCAATTCCGAGCAAAGCTTTAAGACTCAATTCCCGACTTGACCCTGAGTCAAATTTGCGGGCGGCCACTCTGGTCTTCTCAGAACGACCTCGGGAAGCCCCCGGATTTCAGCCGGTTCAAGTCCATCAATCTCAATGCAGCTAAGAGAAGAGGACATGCATGATCTCTGCTCGGCCAAACAAGCTTGAACAGGGATCCTTACATGAAAAACACCTGAACATTGCAACTTGTACATGGTGGTTTCCAGCTGTATTTTGGTGTTGAAAAAGCCACATGCTTCAAATGGGCAAGCAAAATGGATGTATCTTTTAAGGAGCCCTTTTGAAGCTGGAAGACAGTGTCTCACCAAAGGGCCAAAGGACAGCATACGCCCAACGATTGCAAGGATCCGTCTTACAACTGACCGAGTGCGTGGAACAGCTGCTTTTGGTAGAACTTGCATTCATGGAAGCTGGCAACTTGTTTTGCAAACACTTTGCACTTCATAGATGGTCATGCCTTGTGCAAAGCCTGGCTTCCTGCACACGATTGCTCAAATTCCAAAACGCGGCTTGCTTGCGCCACGCTGCACACCAGAGCGCGAGGTCTCAGCGGCAGCTCTGTTGGCAATGGCCAAAAGGTCGGAGCCACCCACCGAAGAGGCGTCTCCCTGGCCACACAGCGGGATGGGAACAGTCGCCAAGCGTGAGGAATGAAGGGTCATGCAGGATGGCGTTGATGGTCTGGGGCTCATGTGCTAGACTAGAGTAACCATCGAACGCTATGAAAACATCCGAGGGAGCCCAACAGCACGACAAGGAGCGGAACATAATCCAAAGCACTCACACTTTGGGCTCCAAACGGCTTGGACAGGTGGCACCTGAAGGAAATGCAAATAATCATCATCATCATCATCATCATCATCATCATCATCATCATCAGCATCATCATCATCATCATCATCATCATCATCAGCATCATCATCATCATCATCATCATCATCATCATCATCATCATCATCATCAGCAGCAGCAGCAGAAGCAACGGCAGCGGCAGCACTTCAGCGAACAAGTTGATGTCGGAAGGAAAGGACGATTGCAAGCGCTTTTCACGGGCAACAACTCAGGAACTCTCATCCACTCAGCCTGAGCCGCCCGAGCAGCCACTGCCAAGAGGTCGCCATCGGAAACGACGGAAGGCTCCTGATGAGAAGGCCCAAGACGAATAAATCGTCCGTCATTGTCCACTGCGAAACGGCGAGTTGACTGGACAAGACAAGTTCAGACTGATACTGACTGAAGAAGAGAAACCTGGTCCAAACAGATTCAAGTTTGCCAATGCAGCGGGGAGGGATTCTTCCTGTTGTATGCGGTGTGAAGCACCCGGACCTCCAGTTTGCCTTTGGCATGCCATGCAGCTCGTGTATTGGATAGGTCTATGTTCGTCGAGTTCCTTCCCCAGCTCCCACCTCTGCAGCCTTCTGAGCTGCGGCGAACAAATCGCTCTCGGAGACCACTGAAGGCTCCTGACGTGCGAGCGTTTCCTTGCTCTCCGAACAACAAATTCTGCGATTTGTGAACAACAATATCAAGATTGGAGCAACCTGCACGGGATTGAGGTCGCGGCCTCCAGGATACATTCTCTGTGCTGCCATATTAGCAACTTTGTAGCCTACAAATTGAATGACGTACGTGTCTTGTAGCATCCAATTTATGATGCATTCAACATCTCACATATGCAGACAGCTCAACCTCTGAAGAAACTGTTTAGTTCGGAAGTTCCCTTTCCTGCTTGACCCTTTCAGGCCACATTGTCTGCAGTAGCCAGCGGCGGTTGCAGAGCATTTGACCACTTGTGACATGGCGGGTTCAACTGCGGGTACCTAGCAAGGACCCGGAAGCAAAAGGTTAACCTTTTGGGGCCATGACTAAAAATGGGATCCCAAAACGGGAAAACCAAAGGGTCAAAAGGTCGATTCGCTTTGGACCACTAAGTACTAGCAACCTATGTCTGAATCGCGGCTTACCACAAATTCGCCTCCGTCTCCGCGCCTTCGGCGGCGCTTTGGCCTGCGTCTTGGGCTTCGGCTGCGCGGTGAAGACCTCCTGGAGGTTGGTGCCGCCCAGGGAGGACTGGACGCCCGAGCGCGAGGCCTGGTGGACTCAACGCCTCACTGGTTTTAGTGCTACCTTCCCCATTCTTTCCAGGGATCCGAATCTTTCGAGAAAACCTCCGGAAACCCAGGGAAACGGCCGGTTTTTGAAAAGAACAATGGTTGAAAAGAATGGGGAATCAACCTTAGAATGGTGTCTTCCACCCGTGCAAGGTGCCAAAGAACGAATACCAAAGCATCTCGGAGCGAATCAAAGGAACATGACAAATGCAGAAACACCCTTTGAGCTTCTTGGGATCTATCTGCTCCTGCTCAATCCGTGACCCAGAAAAAAAAAACAATGCCACATTTTGATTTCCTTGAAGTGATGAGCGTTTGCGACAGGAAAGGTGGGACAAAGACACACAGGGCTGCTCAACTCGACCCATGCTCTTCGATGAGCTGAATCACTGAATCGGAGCCAAACACGCAAAAGATCTGAGCAAGCCTCAACCAATCCCCAAGCAGTGGAATTGGCGTCATTGCTGTGAGCATAGCTGTGGTAGCACATGTGCCGAGTTCCACTCGTCATGCGCTCCGCAGGTGTGCGATGTGCTCCGCTTCAAGACCCTTACAGGCGCATGTGCCAAAGCTCTGATCCTAAGATATCTTGAGCAAGCGCCCATATGCAGGACTGCTTTTGAGCGAAATCCTGACCGCCCAGCCAAACAGCTTGAGTAAGATAGCCACAAACTTGTAGCATCCATCATCTGTGGATCCGATCCAACTAAAACCAGTGCAAGTCTTTGAAACCAGCTTAGCCTGGTCCCACGACCCTGGCAACAGGCAAAACCATGAATTGAGGGAATATCAACGACAAACCTAAAAGGGATACCGTAAATTACCTGCCGGTGGGTCTCGTGCTGGTTGACTGTCCCCTTGATTAGCGGACTGCTTCGGCCTGCTGGGCTGCCTTCTGCGCCTCCGCAAACAAATCGCTGCCCTCGGAGATCTCCGAAGGCTCCTGACAGAGGACGGGCGTCGCGGTCGCAAACGCGTATCACAAGGGAAGGTCCACGAGCTGTACAGGACGGAGGTCGCTGGCGCTAAAGCCTTGGTATTTGCCAACGGCAAGCATCGCAACGCTCGAGAGACTAATTGCTGTCCCTGAGCGTGGTGCTTCAGCAAAAATTGGAGACACGGAGCAAAGGAATCGTCTGTCTCTGGATTGCGTTCTTCAGCCATCGAAACACGCGGAATGTCACTGCATCTTTTCCCTTGCCGCGCCTTTGGCGGCGCTTTGGGTGGCGCCTTCGGCGGAGCCTTTGGCGTCGCCATCGGCGGCGCCGGCACCCGGCGCTGCGCGGTGAAGACCTCCTGGAGGTTCGCGGCCGCTGCACCACCCAACGAGGACTGGACGCCGGAGCGCGATGCCTGGCGAAGGCTGCGGGAAACTCGCCGGAAACTCGCCATCTGCCAGCCCCCCCCCAAAAAGGAAACAGATGTATCTTAGTGTGTAGCTTTTTGGCCTGCCTGCTCCAAGGTTAGAGACGACTCATGGAGGAACTGACGGGTAAGGAAGAGATGAGGAAGAGAAAGTGTAGTAGTTAAGATTATAAAGTTACAAATGATATGAACAAGAGATGTGAATGATAGGAAAATAGACCATGAGATACAGAGAAGATAAAGAGAGGAATTACATAGAAATATTTTATCTTACCTTCTTCTTCATATTCTTTTACTATTCTTTCCAATATTTCCTTTTATCAAAGTGAGACAACTGTGACCACCAACAAGAAACCTGGAGGAAATCAAAGGCAACTTCATCCTGGCAGAGCGAGCCTGCTGAGCTGCCAGCTGCGCGGCTCCCAGCAGGTCGCTGCCGTCAGAGATCTCGGAGGGCGCCTACGAGGCAGAACTTGGCAGAGGCTCTTGAAAAGAATGGTGTTCCATTCCAGGAATGGTGTTCCATTCCAGGAGTCTTCTGTATTCGTTCCTTTTTCGCCCCCAAGCCATCTCCAACCCCTTCCCCGACTTGGGTTTGGCCTGTCGCCGCCCTCAGTCTCACCTGTTCCCACTCCTTGCGAGCGCCTAGTTCTTGGAGCTTTGGTTTGCCCCAGCCCGTTGGGCTGCAGCCCTACAGCCAAGCCGAGCTGGCCGGACTTTGAACTTCTCGCCCCCTTCACCCACCCTTGCCCCCCGTCACTTGGGGATTCACCTACCCCTTGCCCCTCACGGCCGACCGCCAAGCCACGCAGGACGTATTCATGCGCGTTGCCCGGCTTCCCCACGCCCCTGCACTAAGAACGGACAAAGGAAGCCTCTAAATCAAACAACGGCCATCACGAAGCGCTTACAATGGCAAAAGGGAAATGGAAGAGGGGAGGCGTAAACTCACATGGCTGAATCCAGGAAGATGGGCTCGAATTCTGCGAAAAGGTACTGTGAGTGGAGAACAACATGCAAGCGCACTAAGCTTCAGCTCCCGATTCATTGACCCAAGGCATCATCAAATGGATTCTGCGCGAAGCAATCGCTTCATTTTGCTTCAAAGCGTCGCGCTTATCATTGAGCCACAGTCCAGTAGTCTAGCGGCGCCCAAATAGAGAAGCGCTGTCGCGAGATGGGCGCTTCAACCTGCGTGCGCCTTTCGGGGGGCCACTTGGAGCCAGGCCCACTCCCGCATCTTAGACTCAGTTCGCATACGGGTGTGGCTCAAAATGAAACAGGAGGGGCAAACCGCAGGTTTTGGTCCATGTTTCCACTTACAAGGGTTCCATTTTGGGTACCGGGTTTTTGAGCCACAGCCATATGAAATTTCCTGCGCCGTGCTTGAAGGCTTGACTGTATGGTACAGCAATGCGTCAAGAACCATGATGCCGAGGGTGTTCTGCTCTGTCCCCTTCTGCTAGAAGCTCTAAACTGTGCTTTTGGTCTCGCGGTGTCTATGAGATGCACATGTTGACTTGTCCCGAAACAAGTAACAGTGGCACATGCTGCATCTTGCCCAAATACATCGCCGATCTTAGCTACGTTTCGTGATACGCTCTTGCTCGCAAGGATGTCTGAGAAATATGATAATGTGATGTCGTTCTTCGGGGCAAGCCTTTCTCCAAAAGGTGCAACTTGTCACGACTGGCCTCTTTACCCTCGAATGCAATCAGCATCTATCATGCTATGTCTCTTGCGAAAATTACGCAGCCGTCCAAAGGCCAGAAGTAGGTATAGTTGTTGCCTGCAAGTCATTTCTTGCACACCCAAATCCTTGAACGATCCACCGTGCAATCTTGCCAACAACGCAACTGACCCAATTTCGAGCACATAAACCACAAGAGCAGTCGCTCGCAGCAATAAGAAATGCCCGGAAAGATCTCATTAACTCTTGCTCTAGCCTTTCGAAGCCAAACTCCAACAGCGTGTAGGTGTGTGTGGTGCCTTTGGACGTGCGTGTGTGCGTGTGTAAATCAAACATTTTTTAGGCAGCGCACGTTGGATGACCATTTGTGCTGGCAGAGTTGGGTTCCTCCTTCTTTGATTTCTGCTTGTTACTTTCCCGTGGAAGTTCTATGCCTTACGTCTCTCATGACAATCCGATGCAGTGCAATCTGAGATCAAGCGCTTTATCTCCAGCCCATGGTTGAACATTATCATATAATACGGGGGGACAAAAAAAAGCACATTCCTGACAGTGTCGCCGATGCCCCTCCACTATCAGCTTGATGCCGTTCATCGCATTTGCAGATAAGGTAACAAACTCACAGCTTGATTTGTCTTACCACTAAGGGCCCGAGCAAAGGTTGACATGCGCCTATTGGCAAATGCATCACATAAATATAATTTACCACGCGCAATTCCAATGCCTGCCAAAACTCACAGCACCTTTTGCAAAAGGGTCCCCCTAATGACGCCAAAATACCTTAAATACATCCAGCATGCCTTACTCAAAAAATACCTCACAAATACCGAAAGAATACTGCTACTCTGAGTCTCTCTTCAACGCCCAACCTCCTGATGCCCCTCCTTTCCAAATGCTCACTGTTATCAACCACATTGCCAGGTTTCAGAGCATGAACACATCGACATTGGAATTGGGAGTTTGCTCAAATACATTTTGGCAGATGCTTTTGCTCAAGGGTCAAGATTCCTAAGCACGGCAGTTCTCAACTACTCAAATAAATGGAGAAGAAGCACTCAACAATTGGGGGAGGACTTTTTTGGGAGGCCTTTCAAGGATCTTGCGAAGAAATTCCACCAACAGCGCCAAGTTGACATGAAGCAACTGTGCTTGCATGTGCTCTCTGCATTCTAGCAAGAGCATCCACCCAGCTTTGTCTTCAGTGATGTGACCGGAAGGTGCCTTACAAGACTTCCAGGAAGCTTGGCGGAATTTCCAGCATTTCAGTGGATCGCCGCTTGGTAGATTCCTTGCTTTCATGAATTAGAGTCATATACACATTGAGTTGATCCTGGATTGCTAAGCCCCACTTTAAATAATACGGGGGTGTCCCTGATTTTAGTGGGGATTCATTCTTGCCTTTATTCTAGGGGTTGATTCCCCATTCTTTTCAGCCATCGTTCTGTTCAAAAACCGATCGCCATTTCCCCAGGGTTGTTGGTGGTTTTCTAGAAAGATTCGGATCCCTGGGTTCAGAATGGAAATGGAAGCTACCTGCGAGAATTCCGAGGGATTCGACATCTTACTCAGATCCTTGCTCATCTTGACAGAAGATTACCATGAGCATGTCCGCAGAAAGAATGGGCCTTGCATCTCGCCTCAACCACGAAGAAAGCCAGGCCTTGGGAGCCACCGGCGCAGGCGCGCGGCTAGCCTGACGCCGACGGCGGATAGGGGTAAGCCGTGTCACGGTAGGTATATATGGGTTATATGTGTATATATATACACATACACACATGTGTGTACTGTGTATCTATATATATATATATATATATATATATATATATATATTATATAGTCTGTTATGTATATCCTCTGGGTGTGTGTCTCTTTGTGCGTGTACGTGTGTATCTGCATCTGATAGTATGGTCTGTGTGTGTGTGTGTGTCAGTGGGTGTGTTTTGCATGCAGTGTGCATGAGTGTGGATGACCAGTCGCGGATCATGACGCACGTGTTGTATCAGCAAAACGTCTGGCTCGGTCCAAAGGTGAACTCGAAACCGTGCATTTCCCTCAACGGAACAGCAGTGCGGCATCTCATCCCATCCCATCCCATCCCATCCATGCATTCAATGCATTCAATGCATTCAATGCATTCAATGCATTCAATGCATTCAATGCGTTCCTTCCTTCCTTCCTTCCTTCCTTCCTTCCTTCCGAGGACGAGGCGTTTGGCTACGTGAAAGAGAGTCATACGTACTCCGGCCGTTTACCCACGCGCTTGTTTGCATTCTATCACTGTGACATTCAGGGTACCGGGCAAAAACACCTTCTGAGGCCATCGAAATCAGTTCATGTCCGATGCAAAGGCAAGCGACGTCCGGCAAGCCACCAACTGGAACTATCAGCACAGTCGTTGGAGGGAATAGGCACCACGTGATTGGTTTTCGGGGATACAGTGTAAACATGCTCGACTTGAACCTTCTCCGCCCTCGATTAACAGGCTCAACAGGCTCTTTGGATTGTCAGAGCAATTTCATTGAAATGTTGGCAAGACAAGGTCATGATAGCACTTTTTATGTGGGGTTGAATATTTATTGCCCAGCCACCCACGGCCACCAGATCCCTAGCAAGAAACAGGGATTCTCGGTTGCAGCGATTCCTCGTTGCCGCCACTTCATGCGTCTGCAAGTCTGAGAGCTGAAGTTTGAAAAACAAAAGACGTAACTAGTTCCTGCAAATCTATGGAACGGGCATTTGCTTTTTGTTCAGATCGTTCGCTGCAACACGCTCTACATGAGCACCCAGCCATCAGAGACATCCACAGCTGGGATATGACAATCCGGCAACCTGCCTTCTTCGCTGGAGAAACAACTCGATTTGTGACATCTCGGGACGAGCTTGGCAGGTGCCGTCTTAACGATTCACTAGCGAAGTAGTTTTGATCTGGCCGGTCTTCAGGCCAATATACTCTGTCAGAAAAGCCTCTAGCTGAGCTTCCCTCTTGTCCTGGTCCAAGGATCCATCTGAGCCCAAGTTGGAAATGCAGTCGTATGTGCCGTATCCAAATCGCCGCTCTGTTGTCCAATGATGTCTTCCATGCCATGCCTTCTCAATCGATCCCAGACCCAAATGTGGGCTTTTGAATTCTTCAGAGGGATGCTGAACGTTGTCTGCTAGCATGGGTACTGCACGAAACTTCATCTCTATCTTTGCGAGCACGGATCGAACAGTTTGCTGCGTCAGCATCATGTGCTTGATCACCTTCCAGTGCGCGCTCTTGTAGTCTTCATAGTAATGATGACTCAGCGAGTTGAATACAGATGTCCAAAGATAAGCACTGTGGTCGAAGAAAGGAACAAGCACAAATGCGAGCTGTACCTGAGACGTGCGGAAAGCTAACTCGGAAAGTCATCAGCCTCGGGCCTATGCCATACTCTCGCGACTTACGGGCTCTTTTGGAATGCACAAGGGAACGCCTTCGAAAAAAAAGAAGACAAAAGGATGCGTCGGGTTCCATAGCAGCTCTCTTGCTCCAAGCAATTTCAAACACATCCGTCTGCCCCAACCCAGAGGGTCCAAGTACTTCATGAGGATGGCTGGGGGGTAATCAGGGGTCTAAGTACCTCCTTAGAAGGTACTTGGACCCTCTGGGTAATAAAGATCTGCGTTCCAGGTCACGTAGAGTGCTTCAACTGCAGCCTCCACCAGCCCAGACTCTTGAGATGCCGTGAGGCATGTCTGCGAAGCCGAGAAGTGATGCTCTTTGTGCCAGCAGCTGTAGAAGGGCCTTGCAAGAAACCATAGCCAGGATGTGGGCCCAGGGGATGGATGGCCCATCTTCAGCTTATCTGGCCATGGGTCAAAATCAAGTACCTCCAGTGAACGGGACCCAATCCAACCACTAAAATAGACTAAGATGGGTGGTGAATTCACCTACCCCAAAATGGTACCATTGGTTTTGACCCACAGCCATCTATCGTCAATGCTACCTTGGCCCCTGTAACCTTTTCGCCTTGATCAGTCTGAAACATTCAGGGGCAAATCCAGGTTTTACGCCAACTCATGTGCGTCTAGTCTGTTGGATCCATCGTACAAGGCCGCCAAAAGTACGGGAGGCGCGATTCAGTGAATGGAAACAAGTTATCTTGTGCAAGTGTAATCAGCACAATTACAAGCGTCTGAAGTCTAAAGCTATCCTCCGTGCATAGAGGATAGGCAGCACTTGCCTCATTGATCTGCCTGTAACAATCGGGCGACCCAACTGGCATCGCGCTCCCAAGAAGCAAAGTTATTGACCAAATCCTCTGATTGACACACAGTCGGGTCAACGTGCATGTGAACAAGCACATGCTCTTTGCACACACACACACACATTGGTTGTTGTTGGCATCAAGGATGTTGTCTGTCACCGGGTGGCTCTGCATTTGAGTGAGCAGCCATTTTGGACGACCACCTACGTGAATAAGTCAAAGCAGGGATATCGTGACCCTTGTCAAGTTGTCTGGTTCTTCGCGGCTGACGCTTGTCCAACAAGCGAACGAGTGAATGCCTCACGGAAAGAAACACATTTCCCAGGTCGAGGATCCACTAGCAACGAGAGAAATCAAGGCAACGATTCTCGCTGCAAATTGGTAGCTTACGTGGGCAATGGGTTCCAAGAACTGGTCTTGAGCTATGCAGTTCAACTGTTCTCTCGGGTTTTCCCCGATTGCATCCCCAATCAGCCCATTGACGCGTCCCAACCGAAAACCCAGACTCGCCCTCGAATCCGCGCAGCTGGATGTGAAGCATTCGGTGCATGCAGAAGTAGATGGTCGCCTGTCTTCGGCTTAGCTGCACCGATGGCGGATAGGAAGCAGTGCCAGAATGGTAGGAAGCACTGCCAGAATGGTTCCATTGGCATGTATGCGTTGTCAAGGAGCAAATATCAATGTTACCAATGATGTTACCCCCTCCCAGAGAACATGGGAAAAAAACAGCTGAGACATCTTCTCCCATCATATCATACCATAACATGCCGGGAAAGGATTCTTCCACAAAACAAGCCACTGGGTCCACTTCGCTGGTCCGTGCAATGAGCTCGGGTGCACTTGGCCCGGCGAAAAACGGGAATCGACTCTCGGCCCGAGCCCACCGGACTACGCCTTGATGCGCATACTCCAGGGCGTCAGCGCGCCACGCAGCGAGAGCTGCAGCAATATGCCCAAAGGCGACCAGGTGGAAGGCGCCCAGCTTCTGGCCAGCCAGGCGCAAAGACCTCGCATTCGAAGCAGGAAAAGGATACGCTTCATGTCCAAAAGGCCCAAAAGGCCGGCACCACATGTTTGGGCAGGCAAAAAAAAAACAAAAAACAAAAAACATCTGAGCACTTCAGTTTCGAAACTGTCATTTAATTGATTGCAGCTAGAAATGGCTGCCGATTGAGATCTGCCTGATATGCAAAACACGGATCGTCTCAGGATACAGATTGATTCCTCCAGCTGATTCAGTGCTTTTCTAAGGACGTTAGCTGAAACTAGAAATGCTAGACATCATCATGGTCTAGCCGGTGCATTGGATGGCAAAACAAGAACCTTATGTGAAATCCCACCTGTTTCAAACAATACTATTCTATGCAAATGTTGGCTCGCGCGCTCACACCAACTTTGGCAAAGCCCACCATTCAACACGCTCGACAAATCATCATCAGTAAAAGCATGAGGGGAATCACCATACATATTTGTGACTGGAGCTATCAAATCTTGGTCGGTGTGCTCTGACTGTGGTACCGCACCTCACCTGACTCACTTGCGACGGCCAACACGGGAGGGGGGGTTTGGGTAGGATACTACCACTGCGCCGTGGTCGCCGAGTCCGGAGTGCTTCAAGTCTACATAGATTCGGCTGAGAGGCTCAAAGCAGTAAACCCGAAGAGAAACCCCAGGATGGTATACGAGAAACCGTACACGGCATCGGCAAGGTGGTATGCAAAACTCGGCGCTATAGTCTTCCTTCGCTTGGCCAAAACACCACGGTAGAAGTCGTGGTTTACCAACACCTCTGCCAGCATCACTGCCTTGATGAGGAACCACAAGGTGGCGAGTGTGAGGCTGAGCCAGTGAAAAAGTCGCGCAGGAAGCGGCTCAATCAATAGCGCTGGCAACGGAGCCCAGCACAACATCATATGCACCAGCATCCAAGCAGCAAGGTTCCTTAGCCAGCATCTGACCCAAGTATGACGCGGCTTGGTATTGTGTGCTTCGTCTGCGAAACAAGCGAAGAACGTGAAGGGCAACTTCCCACCCATCAGAAGTATTCAACATGAAGCTGGTTTGGAGCGCAGTGGCCCCCTTCAATTCCCAGTTGTTCAAGTAGTTTGAGAAGCGGAGCCTGATCGAAAGGCTTTGAGGGAAAAAAAAGGACTTCTCTCAGGACCCACATTTGCGGGAGGGAATCAGGTATGGTCATTTCTAGCCATGAGTCGCCAGGAGCAAGGGGAAGACCACCATTGCAGCCGCCAACACAAGCTGACAGTGTGACGTAAAGTACTCCTTCACCGACTCCGGGGTAAAGTTCGCCAGCAAACTTCCACTTTTCGCCTGCCGGCAACAAACAAGTGGTGGCCACAAGCAAATGTTGCCAGAACAGCATGGACAGGCTCCGGTGTCACCAGTCCTCCTATGTAACATATCGCCCATGGTTCACGTTGTCATTCAACCACGCTATAATACAGCGCTCCTCTACTCAGTTACTCTGTGTCCAAGCCTTTGCAAAGCTCGTCCATATAGACTTGCAGCTAGTTTGGTAGGACGAATGATCAAGTGAAGCGTGCTGATACATCCGTCCTTACCCATTCTCACTTGATCAGTGGTTTGGTTGGTCCTACGCGGAAGCCGCAACCAGCCTACGCCGCTGCAAGCGGTGCCTACGCGGGCGAAAGAGTCATCGCATGTGCCGACGCAGACGCCGCTGGCAGAAGTTTATTTCAAGTGCATGAGAAGTACACTTTGGCACGCTCCAGCTCGAAGATCGCAACTTTTCTGTACACTTCAGCTCGAAGATCCAGGCTGCAGAGTTGGAATAGAACTCCACTGCAAACGGATCTGACTGCTCGGGAAACCGCTTTGAACGTTTCATTCACGAGTCTACGCGAGAAAGCCTACGCCAGGGGTGAAACAATGGCCTACGCGAAAAGCTTATGTGAGCGCACACCCCAAACCAGGATTGCCTCCGCAACCTGCATGTAGTTTTTTTTGGTGTAAGCCCTCTGCATTGATTAAGACCACTCACTTGCAAGCTCCCTGCAGCTGTTCTCATGCAAAGGCCATCACCCAAAGGGTCCAAGTACCTTCTAAGGAGGTACTTAGACCCCTTTTTACCCCCCAAAAGCCATCCTCACTTGGAGCCTCGTCATGAATGCAACGGAGAGATTGGAGAGCCAACGGACTTCAAGCAAACGAATCTTGTTTGCCGGTCAGGAACCATGCCCCTTCCTTGGAAGCCCTTGGAAGCTTACTCGACGCATATTTGAGTAACCCATGCGTTGCAGTCATCTCGTCAAAGCCGAGTCTACAGTTTCACCATTTCTATGCCGCCATTGCAGGGTTGCAGGGACTGGCATTCATTGGAATCAGCAATGGCAGGTACGAAAGTGCCCTCGACTCAACTGCCGTGTTGTGCCGAAAAATGCCGAAAATATCTAAATGAAGAAGGTGGACACTGGTGGCTTGCAGTGCTTGCAGCATCTTCTGCAATGCGCTTGCCACACAGGTCCTCTTTTTCCTGAGATGCTTTCCAACCCAGGGAGTGACTTCCTGAGCCAACTCATTTGCGACAGAGACTTCATCTATTATCTAACTGACTGACAACAAACCAATGGCTATCCTCAAAATAAATCCTAATCGTCTTTGGCGCAAAACTTCGTGTCAGCATAGGGTGTGGCGTCGCTTCAACTCTGAAAACATGTCTGTGTGTACGTGTCTGAGTGTCTGAAACCAAATCAGGAAATGTCCCGGCCATACCCGGCTGCCGCATAGAAACCTCCAGTGTTGCTTGATTGCTCGTCCCCCAAAACACGCCAAGTACGCTGTCTAGGATTGATATGCATGTAATATTATGCTCAGCGATTTGCTCACTCATGTTCAGCTCATTTGTGGTTCCAAGTCTGATTTTTCGGTCTGTGGCAGATTATTGAATATGTTAGGAACCCCCCACACATTGACGAAGAGAACGTAACAGCTTCAAACAAACACCAAAAGACATGTGGCAAAACCGGGTCTGTGTGAGTTCTCAGCTGAATCAATGGCTGCAGTTTGGCAAGTTGCGCAGCTATGACTAGCCGGATTGGAAACAGAGTTTGGGGCTTGTTCTTGTTCTTCTTCCCGCTTTTCTGGCTATCTCACATTCCCACCCCCACCCCCCTCCCCGCCCCGGCCCCGCCGTGATGCTCGCTATGTTTGCGAACGCCAGGGCTGGTATCAACCACCTCGCCCCAAAGGGGGCCTCTGATAGCGCCAGCAACATGGAGGTAACCATGGCAACGTTGCCGATCAGCCACCAAGCTGCCTGGGAAGATGTTGCTTCGTGCATGCAATTCCAAGCTGATGATTGCTTCAAGCCCGAGACACGGCCAAACTTGTCCAGGCGAGTTTTGTGCCCGATTCGTGGTTCAACATGGAGGACACAACCGGCTACGTACAAATCAGACGTGGCCTGATCATGGCCTCTTCGTGTGGCAAACATGGACTGTCATTAAAGGCTCCGGATGGAAGATAGGCGGCACTCTTTCTTTCTTGTTGAAGCCACAAGAACCGAATGCAAGGATCACGACTCACATTGCAACAAGGCCAGACGAAACCTCCGAGCCGCCGTGCGCGCGGCGACCCGCTTGCTGAAGATCGCCTCTCGCGCGGAGTCCTCCTCCGCGAGCTTTCTCAGAGAGGCCGCGATGCTGCGCATGCAGTCGCCATCCAGCCGAGCCAGTTCGGAAGAAGTGTCCAGGCAGAACCGCAGGGAAGATGCCAGAAAAGCGGCTGCCCTCAACATGGAGGAGAGGGCATGTGTTTCTCAGAGTCGGATTGTGCTTGAGCCCAGATTCCAACCAAGAAAAAAACAGTGAAGCAAGAGATTCCGAAGAAAAAAAAGAAGAAGCAGTGCAGCAAGCAGAGTCTGCATTCATAATTCCGTACATCTGCTGACATGATGTCTCATAGCCAAGTGAATCCAGAGGTTGAATACAGCCCGACTTGGCAAGGGAAGGTACCGATTCCCTTGGCAGCAAATCTGAGCTTCAACATGCGTGATCTAGGGCAGTAAATTGGGGATCCTGCGAAATGCTGAACACCCCCCTGTGGCTTTACCAGATGACCGACACTTTTCAAGGCAGGGCAACAATGAGATAATGGAAACAAGCTTCTGCCGAGTTTCGTCCCAGTGTCATGACACGAACACTTGAACAGGCAATTGGCCGGATCCTACACAAAGAGCGCTTCTCAATCGTCAGACTCGAGCAAAAAGCAAGGGAACCGGGTGGAAACATGATTAAAAAGTGAGCAATACAGGCGATAAGCCCTTGCAAGTGCATGCACCGCTGGTCCAGTGGAGATGCGATTGCTTACAACACGTTCCGACGTCCTGCATCCCCTTCCTCACACTTGAGGTTGAAAATAGTCCAGCATGTTTCATGGTTTCTAGAATTCAAACAAGCAACACACACACACACACTGACAATGTCACACACACACACACGTAAGCCGGCGAGGAAACGGGACTGCCAGCGCCTTGCCAGCTTTGGGCTTCCCAAAGAGATCCGCCACATTCCCCGCAACGCTTCCAGCCACGGAAGACTGAACACCAGAACGAGAAGCCTCAGGACAGGGCGCGCAAGGCCTTTCGAAAATCCGAAATTCCTGGCGATTCTGGTAACTATCCTGCATCATAATCAAGCTGTGTTTGACACTGTCGCTCTCACGGTGCCATTTAGACCTGACTCGCAGTGTGAGTGTGTGTGTGTGTGCGTGTGTGCGTGTCTATGCTACTGCACTGCTACTGCACACGCAGACCGTTGATCCAAGCCTTGTGCCGCTACAGTTGGCATCAGGTTCTCTTAGAAGATGCCAGGCTTTGTCCATTGGTAGACTGCAGAAAACACAACTCAAAGCACAATGGCGATTTTTCCAAGGCGTCTGTCTGTCTTCAACCATGTGCAATCACGCCAGTAGTAGGGGCTGGTGGAAGACTTGTTGCTCCTACTGCAGGGGAAACAAGCCGCAGCACTGGCGGAATGGAATTTGGAGCCCCCACTTCCGCCGCCGCAGCCCTGGCAGAGGCAAAGAGGTCGCTCAGGCCAGCATCTGACGCCTGGCCGGCCCATGACGATACCAACATCTCCGAGTCTGCGAACAACTTGCACCAGTATTTACAGCTCGAACAAATTGATGGAGCAAATTATCCGCCCACAGCCGCAACAAACCCCTTTCTGTGATACCAGTGGTTGCTTCTGACACAAAGAAGAGGGACTTCAATTGAACCTTCCAAACTCTACGCAATGCGGAATGATACCAATCGTTTCTTTTAAACCTGCAAAACCAAACAGCAAGCATGCTGAGATTCCACGGAGCTCGCAACAAGCCCTTTTGGTTTTGCCATACATTCTCACATGACTTGTTTGCACCCATCTCGACTTGACTGGACTAAAAAAGGAGTCTCTCTGGCAATCAAAGGGATTTTTCTTGATCAGGTTGGGAAAGGCATCCCCTGCTTTCACACATCTTACGTACACATGGGCTTATGGGCAAATTGTACTAGTAAAATGTAGGATTTTACCCAGCAACATCAGCAATCAAAGGTGACTCTACAGTGACTCTTGCTCCTGTCTCTGGCGCCTTTGCATTCCCTTGCGCTAAACACCCCATGGACCCCATCTGCCCTCGATGCCGATCAAAAGGATAACACAATAAGGAGGTGGAGTGTGCATGGGAAATTTCACGCTCTCATGAAGCCACCCGCCCCTTAGCTTGCTCTGGTGAGCGGGTCATAGCTCTGGCATTCATCCTCCATGGCTGCTGACGAAAGGCTACAATGAGGGGCTCCCTGTTGTTTTTCATTGCGGATTATCCACACAATGAAATTGAGCAGCATGCAGTCACAAGTAGCTTGACAAACAGATTCTCATCTGGCTGGGGGTTGCGAGATTCACTTCCATGAAATAAAGAATCTGCAGCAGAACAAACAGCTTCCCGTGAAGTTTTCTGTTTTCATGATGGCTGCTAGCTTCGCTGAACTAGGAAGTTGCTCCTGAACCCTTGGAGGAGAGTGGGTGTGGCAACCCAGAATGAGGCTGCTAAGTCATGAGCTCACACGTCCTTCAAATGAAGCATGGTTGATGGGCCAAATTTTGCATCATCAGTCATCACCACTACATCCCTATCATCATCAACCTCCTCCTCATCATCATCAGCATCATCATCGTCGTCATCGTTATCACCATCGTCATGTTGGATCGCTCTGGGGAATGCCCCAACCAATATCAGTGACACTTGGTAGACCACTGCTGTGGAGGTGTGAAGTCCCACCAACCATTCAAGGCAATCAGCTGCTCTTGACAGGGTTCCTGAACGAAAAAATAATTATATCAACAAACTTCCCTCGCCGATTCAAAGCAGAACCTCCAAAAGCTGTCAGGAGCAGCCGTCAAGTTGTCAACATCATTTGAATCCCCATGCGCCTTGCCCCTCTGTGCCCCGCCTCTGGCTGCGGTAGTGCCTGTGGCGCGGCCAGCGCCTAGGTTGGGACGGAAGCCAAACGCCAAGGTCTGAAAGGAAAGCGATGGGAAAGTAAATCAAGTTCCCTCCACCATTGCATTTGACAACTCCCATGCAGCGGCACCTATTGCTTCTATTGCTTCTTCTGCTACATGTGTGCACGTGATTTGACAGCTAGTCCAACTAGTCCCCAATTCCAAATGCAGTTGTGGCAGTTGCGCAACTAAGCCCCGTGCGCCTTTGTGTCTGTGTGTCTCTGCGTGTCTTTGTTGGTGTCCTTGTGTCTGTGTGTCTCTGTGTTCGTGTCTCTTGGTGTCTTTGCGTCTGTATTCCTCTGCGTCCGAGTGTCTGTGTGTCTGTGCGTCTGTGTCTTTGTGTAAGCCTACTGTTCGCCTGCGTCTCTGTGTCTCTCTGTGTCTGTGTGGCTGTGTCTTTGTATGTGCGGCCATATGCGTATGCGTATGCGAATGCCTGTGCGTGTCTTCGTGGGCGTGCATGTGTGTCGTCTTTAGGGCCTTTACGACCTTGGACATGTAAATCTGCTCTAGCATGCTGGCTGTTCTATTTCACGAAGAGTGGGATAAGACTTGCAACATATTTCCCCTGACCACAAACACACTTTATGAGCTACTTTCAAGCCCCCACGCAGCTCACGGCGCCTTCGGCGACGCCTTTCCAGCACGTCTTGGTGGGGCAAACAGCTCCTGGAAACAACTTGCAGGAACTTGATTACGCAAAAACATGTAGACTCGACTAGGTAGACTGGCCAAATCGAATCCCTTGCAGAAACAGCTGCACCCTTCTCTCTGCTTTGAATTAAGCAAGGCAAAGCGGATGACTGATCCTTGCAAATCAACCAAACAAAGAAAGGATCATTCAGAACAGTCGAACATGTTCAAATGTGGGACAAATATGGAACAAGTCAAAGAAGTCCAGGGCCCCTCCAAGCACTGAACTTCGCTCCTTGATACCAGTGCCAGTCGCTGCGGATGCGGCGGTGACGCCGGAGCGTGAGGCCTCCGCAAGTCGCAGTGCGGGGCTTGGTCAAAGGGAAGAGAAACACCGTTCCCCCGTGGTTATTGATATTGAAAACTTGGATCTTTTGGAATTCAGAATGAATTGTGATGCAAGTAGGCGTAAGCGCCCGGCTTGGCCTGGCCTGTTGGTCCAACTAAGGTTGTCCAATGCGTCATTTGGTGTTGTGGCCTTTTCCGCTGTATCAAGTGGCTCCGGCAATGGTCTGGCTTGGTCTCTTGTGGTGCGCATTGTATGCAACACATCAGCCACATCAAGGAGAGAAGTGTCAGCCTTCTCCACCCATAACGCTATCAACATGCAGTACTTTAGCTTTGCTGTTGGCTGGCGGACTGGGAAGAACATTTGTATCATCTGAATCTGCATGCCTGTTTGCTCACAGCAACTGCTCTTGGCAGTATGCTCTTGCAAGGTCTGCCCAACATCACTGGCCTGATGCACGGGGCCATGCACAGACACACACACACACACACATGCATACACGCATACACACGCATACACGCAGACACGCACACAGGCACACATGCACACATATACACATGATATGTGCATGCGCACACACATCACACACACACACACACACGCCCATGCGCACATGCACACGCACGCGCACAAGCACACGCACATGCGCGCACACACACACACACATGGACACAGACACACACAGTCTCTCGGTCTCTCCGTGCACAAAGTGACAAGCACACACGCTCACATGCTCCTAGCAGCAAGCCGCACGGGGCACATGCTTAACTGCGCTCTGCGTACATGACATCAGTTGGTAATTGATGAGAGCACCTGCAGATCACCAGAGGCTGGGACTGGCATTCGTAATGTGCAGGGGGCACACACTAACTTGTCACCTGCACACCGGCAGGCATTCAATCTTTGCTGTCGATTCGGACAATTTATATGTATCTATCCATCTTTGCCACGGGAAAACCCTCAAAAGTAGAGCCCCTCAATGGACGCCTCGGCAGCTGCCGCACGCGCGAAGGAGAACATGTCCACAGAGGCCTCGGACGCATCCTGGCGGGCAAGGATCCTGCAAACAGACGGGCGCGTCACTGGCAAAGCTTTGCAAGCATGGGCTGCACACACCTTTTCTGTCTTAGGCGGAAAGATACTCGCTGGTGATCTTGCAGCTGCTCGCTCCGAAGCCTGGCCCCTTGATGTAGATCCAACCTTTCTTCTCGCCTGCGAGCACGTCCAGCTCAGCCCATTGGCCACCAGATGGACCGACAAACACGGCCCCAGTGCTGCGAACGATGGAGCTCACTGGCCGGGAGATCTTCATGATCTTGTCCTCAGTTCAGTGACCCTGGGAAAAAAAGGGAACCCTTTTTGGGGAAGACCATTTTTGGTGGGGCAGCCACCAAAAAGAAGCGAAAAAGGGTGCTGAACAACTGAGTGTCGGAATCCTTCGCCGGCTTCTTGAAGAGCTCGGCCTTCAGCACCCGATAAGCCGTGGGCATGTCCTGACAGAAGCGCCTCTGCGGCACGAACCTGACTTTGCAAGTCGTCCTTTCGCCGCCTTCAGCCACCACCCCACCGCAGCACACCTCCACAAGTTCCTCAGGCGGCTTTTCAGGAGCCGCCTCCAGGCCACGCAGGCACTCGGGCTTGCAGCGAATATGCTCCTTGGATTCGTCCACGAGCTCAATCTCCCAGCGGCCAGAATCTTCAATCCGCTCCTTCACCATGGCCCGGCGACCGTTCAGCTCAGCGCGGCTCACCAGGCCCTGGATTTGAACCTGCTGCCCCACTGCAAGCTCAGCATAACCTCCGGCCAGAGGCTTGGAAACCGCGGTCTCATCCTCGGACTCCTCCTCCTTCTCCTTGGGGGTCTTGAAGTCGAAGTGCTTCACCTCCCCCGCATACATGGGCCGCAGCTCCCCAAGCACCCCATCCAGCTGCGCCCGCTTCCAGGCGTTGAGGCCGCCGGCCATGCGCACGATGCGGCTCCGGTCGGCACCCAGCTCTACCAGGTACTGCGCAATGTGTCGGCATCTTGACACATGGCCGCGGTTCACGTTGCCCTTGACACAGGCATCGCTGATGCAAACGATGGTTTTGCCGGAGCTTGCCAGTTCAATTAGATGTGGCACCAAAGACTTATCAGCAGAGGCACCCGTCATGATCAACGAGTTGGCAGGCAAATGAAAGGAGGTCTGCAGGCGGCTGGTCTGGTAGTCAGCGTCATCCCTGCTGTCAACAAAGACTGCCTGGTCGTTTTTCATGAGCAGGTAGGCTTCTTGGACTGTGACATAGTGGAAGTCCACACCACTGTCAGGCACTCCGTAGCCCATGCAGTGAACTTCTGAGCTTTGTCAAAAAATGGGAACAGGGAGGTGGGGAGCTCTAAATCTCGATTTGGAACCAAAATTCGACAGTCCCAAATCCTAATTTGCGTTCCGAGACTGGCGTGGAGACTAACGCCCGCCCAGTTGCAAAAGGATTGCTTCACGCCTCTTGCCCCTTAACAACAAAGTGTGTTGACACCAAAGCTTCCGGCACCTCCAAAGGTTGCTTTGCTCTGAGTGGACGTATTTTGTTTCAGCTGGACATTTTCTTCACTCAGTCGACCGACCCATGTGTCTCTGTAAGCATGCGCATCTTGTGCCTCAGAACCCTACTCCTAATTCATTGTTTTTGTGTGTTCTGGCACATATGGAATGCGTCGAGACAAAACAAAGACATGACTTCTGCAATCTATCAAATAACAGAGGGCCCCTGTACCTAAACACAACATGTTCCGCCATGAACCTGCTATTAGCACGGCTCTCTTTCACATGTGTCAGGGCAAATACTCAAATCATATAAGCATCGGGCTTGACTTTCGATCAGTGCGTTGTCAGAAACCACCCATTTTGGATTTGAGTTGTCCAGGCCCACTGCCTAAGGAAGGGTCTGGAAAATCCGGTCCCTGCAACCGAAACGGGATGCCGCCAAGTCCAGGCCAACTCTGCGGCTGCCCTTTCGACCCACTCGCGCGAGCGAACCTCAGGCTGCGGTGGAGCCACGATGGCCCGTGGCCGGAAGAGCTCTGACATGGCCTCGAGAGGCGCCGTCTGCTCGCTCACCAGCCCTCCCCCTCCTCACGACTACAAACAAGCAACCGTTCCATCAAGGCAGTGCTTGTTCAATTCAAGCAATCCCAAAGTGCTCCTGGAAACGAAGAGCCTCAACAAGTTTAAATCTGGCATGCAAAGACTCGTACGAAAGAGCACAGGCAGTCAGGGGAAGAACAGCTGGGAGAGGGAGTGTTGCTGGCGTTGTTCAATTTCCCATCCATGCAATCCCGCGACGGTGCAAATGGGCCCCTTCCGCGCCAACAACTCCCGGGAAATCCTGTATCGGTGAGGGATGCTAGCAATAGTTTGGTTTTGGTCCTGAGGGGCAAAGCTGATGGTTCCTGCAAAGCCATGGCTAGCCCTTCGTGCTCCGCCATCTTTGCGTGACTCCGGACTACTTCGCCAAGTTGGCCAAAGCAACCAACTGGGCACCATTCGTTTGAATCTTTCCGGAGGATGTTTGGGTCTGCCCCTCTGGTCGTCGTCATGAGTCCTTCCACTATATATAGCACCATTTCTATCAACATCAACAGTCTAGCAGTTTGGGCTCCAAGGCCTCTCTTGCTGCTAAAGCAAGAGAAGACTTGCCAAGGCTTTTGCAAGCACAACACGCTCGTACCTGGCACCCCACCCAACCCAGGCAGACTTGACACCGAAGCTACCCACATCACCCGCCTGCCTTCGGCCCGGCGCTGCGAACGGAGGACTGCACCCCCGAGTTGGACGCCTAGGGCCAGTCCGTTGCCATGGAATGAACTCTTCCGGATGCGGAATTGCCTAGTGAGCAAAGTGGCCAGTGCGGGTCCGTTGCATAGACTTAGGAGCTGTCTAGGGAGCCTTAGAAGGTGCTTTACAATGAGCCTTATAGGGAGCCTTATAAGGAGCTTTGCTTGATCAACGTTCCTCTGTCGTCCTGGGATGTATATCTTTACAGCTAAAACAGCTTCACCAAGCTGGCAACCACCCGTAAGGAGCTTTGTAACAGCCTGCGTCAAGATGTTCAAGCTAAGTCCTGAACTCTAATTGACAATCGAAACTCTCATGTTTCTGCCCTTATTATTTCGCAAATTGACATGAGTCGTTGCATAAAAGTCCTCGTTCTTTGGCGAGTGCCAGCAGGAAGTCTTGTGGCGATGGCCATATATGAGATGAACAAGAAAAGGCAGACTTCCGCGCATTGCAGTTTGGCCTTACCCAGCAATGTCCAAGAATCCAACATTATTTGGCGGAAGCCTGGTAGGTTTCAACATTTTGGATTCTTTGGATTCTTGGTTTCCAAGTAATTCTTGTTTTGCCCCAGGAAGTATTTGTTTGCTTAAGTATTGTCTTTTGCAAACAAGAAGGCAGAAGCTCTCCGAAACTACTGCTTTTACTGAAAACCACAAGGAATCCGTGCTTTTTGCTGAAGAACCAAGAACACCTAAGAAATCTGTGTTTATCATCTAAACAACTAAGATGTCCCAGGAAAATCCAAAAACACAAATTCCTTGGGAGCACAGGAATCCAAGATGTTCAAAGCCACCAGAATTCTGCAAATAGATCTTGGCTTTGTTGATGTTTGGGCTGGAAAAAGGATACGAGACGGTGTTGAGTGAAGAGCAAATCTACGTAGCTTCTGCCGGCAGCATGTAACACACTTGTCAAGCATCCCCCCCGCCCAGCCCCAATGCAACCCAATGCAACCCAAGGTCATCATCTTCTGTGGAAGGGGTCGAGTCAAGGGCAGTGTGACTATATATTATGTATATATATATATATAGGTAATATTCTACAATGTCTATACTAATGGCTACATGATACTTACCCCTCAAAAACTCCAAGCCCTGGGGAAGTTCACCTTCCACAAACATATAGCCCATGCTACCCCAAGAAGTTACGAACAGGTCAGGCCATGGCGCCCGTGCCGCTCTGGCCGCCAGCAAGTCGCCTGAGCCCTCGGAGCGGGCAAATCCGGTCAAAAGGCCAGGCGCCATGCCATATCCTTCCAGTGAGTACCGACTCCTTCTCCTTCCGTCGCTTTAGCTCGAAACCTCTGGCATTTGGTGTATATATATCTGGTGTATATATACATATATATATATTAAAGACACTAAGACACCGCTGGCTTGAAGTTCTCCTCTGTAGGAGGGGATCGGCAGCTTGGCATATAGTTCAGTGGGCCCGAAATGGTTCACATTGCGGGTTGCACGGCTGCACACACCCCTTGGTCAACCATGAATGAAACTGCATTGGCAATATTGTACCTATCAAAGCTGCACTCAGGGGCTACCTTTCCACCTCTCAACGTGCCATTCAGCGGGCCCTTTCTGAAAAGGAACATGCTAGGTGTGGCTTCGGGGAAAAGAGCAACTCACTGCCTCACAGTACGCGTGCAATCCAGGACCAGGGAGCATGGCAATTAGATTGCGAAGGGACGCTTTTGAACTGCGACCTTTTGTACGTTGTTTCAACACTTGATGAAACGTCAAGTTCCATGCCAATGTGAGCGGTGCTGAACACCTGGTGCATAAAACTCGCTATAACAAACCACTTTCGCGGAACCATTTCGCGATGCGGAAGCGCCATGCTTCACTTTCGCGGGCCATCTGTGCGAGGATCTCTTTCGAGCTTTCGTGGCGGAATCGCGCGCCCGTTTTCGCTTTGGCGGGGCCTTGTTGGGATTGCTCAATTAAAATCCTCGCCAGGAGGGTGTTTGGCTCTGTCAGGAAGCCCTGCCTCCGCCGCAAAGAGCTCCGTGAGCTTAGCGGGGCTCCTCATTCACGGAGCGCCGTAACATATTTGGCAAGGGGCAAGGTTCATCTGAGCAATCAAGATAGTTCTCAAGGTGGATTGCGCCAACAGGGGTGTATAGCTTTATACAGGGCCCATTATAACCTACACCAAGCCAGGGAGTATTGGCCAACAGAAACTTGAGTGCTGCGCATCCCTTGCAAATGGGATATATTGCACACCCAATTTTGGAAGGAAGTACCCACCAAGAGAACTCGAAACACCGGTGTTTGTTGGTGGCTAGGCCAGAGCTTTATCAGAGTGCTTGGCATTCAAGCAAGGGAACTCCGCGACACAAACACCCGCACCCACACACAGTTATGAGTAGCCACTGTTGCCTACGCCTGCTAAAAATAGCTTCCTGACTCTTGCCGCCCTCCTACCATTCATCCTCGAAACTGCCTCCTTGTTGACTCTGCGCACCATATTAAAGGCATTGAACACACTACGCCACTGGCATGGCAGGCAATGGCATGTCCTGAAACCAGCCCTTGGCAAGAAAGGGTGGAATAGTCCTATCAACCTCAACTAGCAACGAATCACTGATGAGTGAACACATGATGGGTGAACATACACAACTTATATACTACAAAATCATCCAACACCCAACTGTAAGGCTTTCGATCCACTTTCCAACGGAATTTGTCGCCAGCCTTGGCATTCGGACAAAGTAGCGGTTGCCAAACCACGATGCAAAACATGGATGCTTTGGTGATAGCTGCTACCTCCAACTTTGCGGGTGCAAGGCACAGATTCACTGATGCTCGCCCAAGCTGTGTCGGACCGTCGTGAAGGATCTTTGACCATGGTCGGGGAGGTTGGCAGTCCCAATGAGTTCGCCATGCAGCAGCAAGAATTCCTGAAAGCTACATGTGCGTGCACTTCATGCGGCCACAGCTGCTCTGACGTACCGCTGACACCAGAATGGGAGGCCTGGCGGGCGTTTGCCGAACAAAGAAAAACACAAAGGCCTGGTGCAACACCGACTTGGTTAAATAAATTGCTCAAAGCTGATCATGTGGGGCCTCATGGTCCCCCCCATTTTGTCCAATCTCAAAAAATGTTTGCCTAACATCTCAGTAGACTTGATGATGGTCCTTATCAAGCTCCGGTGGCTAAGTATGCTGAGTCTTTGAATCACGGCACATATCTGGGTCATCATGAACATTGGCGAAACTGCTGGGATGCTACTGGTAGGCTGTGGGTGTGCTGGAAGTTTGCTTCTTGACATTGCGAGCCCACCCAACAATTACGAGTATTGCAATACAATAGGCCACCTTGAAAGCAACCCTCACTATTTGCAGCGACACATTCGTGTTGGACGAAGAAATGAAATAAGCCGCGCATGAACGAAGCAACGCCTCATAACATCAATCTCCCGTCACCAGTGACAAACACATGGTCATAGTCAGTCTCTGTTAGACATGCCTCTTTCCGCGACCGTTCCACGACCGCCCAACCTCTGGGGACAAATTGCAGCTTCTTCTAAGCATCAACAAGTGAAGCAGAACCAACCTTGGAATATGGAGAGCTTGATGACCATCATTACTTTACTCCTATAATTGATGATATTTGTGCAAATCAGTTTGAGCCAACTTAGAAGTTTACACTCCTGCCTTTTGCGAGCGCCGGCCTGGTCGGCAACACGCCGGGCTGCGGCCAAAATGTCACTGCCCTCCGTGATTTCGGATTGCGCCTGGCTGAACGATGCTCTTGAGGACTTAGGTTCTCACAATCGCCTGATTTACATGACGACCCTTGATGCTTGGGCTGACTCAGGGGCGCACAAAGAGTGATTATATAATTAAATCCAGAGTCCGTGATGCTGCGGTCCCGGTCCCCTTTCGTTTTGCAATTTGATGGACCATCAAACACAAACAAAGGCGCTTTGATAGATAGCAATAGTCTTCAACAAATGGATGTGTTCAACTCATGCAGAAAGGATACTCTGTGCTAAGTAAGCCCCATGAATTGTCGATGTCGGTTGTGTGTGTGTGTTGCAAGGGCGAACCAAAATGCATAAGTGCTGGTCGCAACATGGACCTCAATGTAGTTGCGCCTTCGTGACTGCAGGCGGACCAAGCTGGATGGTCCTATCCAAATCAGTTCCACTCGGCAAAGTCTTTAGCACTTTTTCATTCATTGTAGATCCTACGATACTTTTGAGATACGAGAGCAACTGATCAGGATGTGTCCGTTTCGTAACCTTAGTCGAGCATGAAGGACAATGCCACTTCCAATGATACTTTTACATGCAACAAAAAGCTGCTACGGATCTCTGTCAGTGAGCAAGTAAGTCCTTTGGCCAACTCAAACGGTCCGAGCCTTCACTGGTGCGAAGAGATCCCGCATGCCACCTGCAAAGGAAGCCAGTCAGGGTTGCACTAGCCATTGCGCTCTCATGCAATCGCATGTATCCACGCCGGTTTATCGCACAAGTTCGATCTAGAGGCTTGCTCCTGCGCATGCAAACAATGGGCCCATTTTCGCTGCCAGTTCCGGCCGTTATCTACCAAACAAGAATCTCGGAGAACTACGCAACGTTGAGTCTGTGATAAGTTGATCCCGTCTGGACATAATGGTGAGGAGGTCGTTTACACAGGTCATATACTCTTCAAAATCTACAGCCTGAGCCTTGCCAACCTCCCTTCACAAGCTTGTCTGGCATCAGCAAGCAAATCCCTTCCGGAGCGAAGCGCTCCCAAAGAAACGATTGAAGTTGGCTATGGCCAACAATAGAATCGTGATTCAACGGCATCAACCGTTGAGTTGTACGAGTCAATGTCTCAATGGCGGCATGCCCATAGCTCCGACTGTGTTGGTATTGGCCAAACTTATCTGCACCACGCACTGCAAACGGAGAGCGAAGCGGTCGCTCACTGCACCCTATTTGAAACATCCTATCGAAGGGTCCGTTGTGAAACCTTAAGTTGTGGATCCTTAAAGTGGTTTTTGCCATTTGCTATGCAACTTAAACTTGATTCAGCCAGGTCTCAAATCTTAAGAAGACAGGCCCACATCTTGGGCGCCTCCTTCTCGCACTTGCGTAAGACTGCCGGGCCTTCGCTGAATCCCAGGGACATGGCACTCTGCACCCCCGAGCGAGAGACCTGGCAGCGGCCCTTCGGTAGAGCCGAGTCTGCTTGCCCCTCACGACGTTGGGCTGGCCAAAGTTGGGATTGGGATTCGCTGAGCATTTGTTCAACGCCTCACATTGGGCTTTGGAGGCTAAGACTGGCTAACATTGATACCTCCCTTCCTAGCCACAGTGGACAACACTCTTTGTGTGAGGGATGGTCATAGTCTTTTCACGGAACACCTTAGCGTGACTGAAAGATAACCTCGGCATCTGTATCGAAGATTGCGTAAGCGTCCCTACTAGCAACGCACAAGCGACTTCATCAACCATGGCCCGTGCGCACACTCCTTTTCTGGCTACGTGCCGAAAACCGGGCGCGGTCTTGCAAACGGGCTGGTCACAGGGATGTGGCCTGGCGATGCGAACGCTCTCCGAAAAGGCGATCCAGAACTCTGAAGCCCAGTGGATTGAACTTGGAAAATCTGAAAGCTCGAGCTGATGGTAAAACCGCGCAATATTTAATGCAAAACCTTAAGGTTTTCCCTGAGACAGCAAATATTAAAAGCTTCCTTGTTACACATACCTACGTATCCTCATGAGGAGGCTCACATCGTTCCAAACCAGAGTCGCAAACAGTACTATGTTTCAAATACTGCGTAAGTTGGATAGACATAAGATGAAGCCCACAAGTATGACATGTATCCAGTGAGAACGGATGCTCAATTTTGCTCAATTTTGCACAAAGCAATGAGAAAGTCTGACGGAAGACCCTGGCACTCATCAACCTTGAACATAAATCGAGGAGTGATGCGATGCCCAAAATACCCATGCGGGCAGTGGCATAGCTCTAGGCAGAAGCTCCACTCCGGTCCGGCCTGGCTTCACCAACGGGCTTGGCCGTGGCACGTCCTTGGAAAAAACGAGCGCTGTGTGGAACGCTTGATTTCCCCGTGCCATAGCGGAAACCCATATTTCTGGCAAACACTTGTACGGCACGTGTGCTGAAGACTGAAGTGTGGAGACCCAGCATCTTGCAACACAAGGTAAATCTTTTGTGTATGCGAACGTGCACCCGCGCAGGGGCAGCAGCACAACAGCACCCACCCACCCACCCACCCACCCACCCACCCACCCACCCACCCACCCACCCACCCACCCACCCACCCACCCACCCACCCACCCACCCACCCACCCACCCACCCGTCCACCCGTCCATCCATCTATCCATCCATCCATCCATCCATCCATCCATCCATCACCCCATCCATCCACCCACCCCACCCACACACCCACACCCACACCCACACCCACACCCACACCCACACCCACACCCACACCCACACCCACATCCACAGCCACAGCCACAGCCACAGCCACAGCCACAGCCACAGCCACAGCCACAGCCACAGCCACAGCCACAGCCACATCCACAGCCACAGCCACAGCCACAGCCACAGCCACAGCCACAGCCACAGCCACAGCCACAGCCAGACCCACATCCACAGCCACAGCCACAGCCACAGCCACAGCACACACACGAACACACAGACAGACAAACAGACAGACAGACGGACAGACAGACAGACAGACAGACAAGCAAGCAAACAAACACACAAACACACAAACACACAAAAACACCAGCACACAAACACACCAACACACCAACAGACACACAAACAGAACAACACACTCCAACACACCAACACACCGACACACCAACACGCCAACACACAAGCACACACAAACACACAAGCACACACAAACACACAAATACACGAACACACAAACACACACAAACACAAACACACACACACACAAACACAAACCCACACACAACACACACACACACACACAACACACAAACACGCGCGCGCGTGCGTGCCACGCGCACGAACTCACGCATGGACGCAGGAACGGAAACACGAACACACACACACACACAAACAGAGCTTCGTTGCACTTGTTCTGTAACAGGCCTGGTTCGTCAGCCCCCTTTGTCAGCTGGCACTGACCCTGGGACATGGCACCACAGCGAACAATGCAAAACTTCGGCTATAAATCTGCAGTCTACATGGCTATGGCGCAAAAAGCGGATGGACCGCATTTCTTTGAGCCACAGCCACATGACATGATTTGCTGGACCTTAACGTTCTCTCGTAGATTGGCTGAGGAAAGGGACAGCAACCGCTGCGCTTGCTGCCCGCGCCTTGCCAAGTCTGGCAAACGCTGCTGGCACACAGGAAGTCGGCGGCTTCCCGGCACCTGTTCCGCTTGACGCACATCTTGCATCACCAATCCAACGTGTCACAACATGCGCAGATTGCCCAATGTTTTCCAACAGGTATCGGTCATCTCACTTCATTCAGCTCGCAACAGAAACAAAATCCGGAGCATTCCAGAGTGAATCCATGATGCGAGAACATACGCGACGCAAAAGTCAACACCCACATTTGCCACTCAGCATGTGGAGCCCTCAACGGCAGCGCAATTGTTGACGGCCAAAAGGTATGAGGCATGCAAAGTTACGCTGAATCTGGTGGATTACTGCTGTCGTGACTCGTACATAAGTTCTTGTTTTGGACCCCTCCGGGTGCAGCCCATGACATGTTTCCGGCGTTGTTGCAAGTAACCAGAACTTTAAGGCACTTCCAGACAAAATACATGGGCAGAGGCTGCTGACGGAAAACAGCAACACTGCAATTTCACGAATTCAATAGCAATCGTTAGCTTGTGTACATGCAGTCACATGCGTTTAACCCTGCGGGCGTACGGAAGTGATCCATGATCCTTCAAGCGGTCGTGCGCGCCGCAGGGGTCGCATTGGATCAGCGACCGACAAGGCGCCTAATGACTTGGATTATATACATGGATTCGGGACACTCGGGACTCCTCGAAATGCGCTTCCTGCTCCCAGCCCACGCATCACCATCTCCGACACCCATCCGGCCTAAGCTTTTGCCGATCGGGCCCTCAGCCTGCTCCTTCCTCAGCAATTTTCCGATGTGAAACTGGCGGCGACCCCAAAGGGTTTCTTGGCACATTGAATGAACACATTTTACATGTAAAGACTGTAAGCCAAACAATGTGTAAGAGGGTATTTCAAGCCTTGAGCAAAACCCTCAGCCAAACAAACTGATCCATAGTTGGGAATGTTCGTGGTAGGCACTCATGTCAGTCGCCCATCACCCAAAACTGACAAGCTATCAAGTTGATGCGTTCGGGTCAGACTCTAAAACATTCTCAAGGAGTCGACGATCACTCTGACAGGCCTTCCACGTTCTTCCGCATTTTTGCTTGCAGGTCACCCTTCAAAGGAATTCGCCACGTTGTCACAGTGCATGTGAAAGGGTCAGGATCCCACATAAGCAAGAGACAATTATGACTTGCTCTTGCAAGGTTGCTCTATCGGGAAGAACCTCGCAAGCCAAGGAAAGTTGGCCAATTTGATGGGCAACACATCCATGAGGACAAGCGCGCTCAACTGCGTCAAAAATGTCAGCCGGGCATCATCGGCTTGACCTGCGCGGTGCGGCAACGCAACACCACTCGCTTCCCCTTGAGCACTACTAACATATTGCAACAAACCATCAGACAGCCTACGATGTATTCAAACGGGTGTCGCACTATGTATGGTTTCACCCACTGCTCTCCTGCTGCCCCCCCCCAATCGAGTTCCTGGATCGCTGTGGCTCTTCGGGCTCGCTCCGCACTTTTTGGATATGTCCATGCCCTGCCACCCCCGCACGCATTTCTCTCACGCGTGCGTATTCTTCTTTTGTCTTCTGTCAAAGAGCCAGCTTTCAGTTAGTGTCCGTGCCACGGCAGTTCCTTCTAAACTTCCTTTGGTGAGCAAGCAAGCAGCAATCCCCAAAACCCATCCGCAGGGCGGGCTCCCAAAACGCATCCCAATCAACCTTCCAGATCCCCAGCCAAGCCTAAGCCGACCATAAACCAACCCTAAGCCATCCCCAAACCATCCCCGGAACCCACCCTACGAGGGTATATTCATATATGCACACTGTGGCTTCAGTGGCCCTAGATGCTATCTGTACAAGTATGTCTGTCCATCCACGCATCTGTGCCTCAATGGTTATCTACCTATCTGGACATCTGTCTATCTGTCTATCTATCAAACCTGCCCACTTGTCTGTCTACTGATTATAGACACGTGTGTTCTGCGCTTGCTCTTTACTCAGCTTCTTTCGATTTCCCTTTTGACCTGTTGATCTGCCCCAATTATATCAACCGATCTGAGCTAGAACTCATTCATGCGTCGCGCCAGAGCTGGATAATCGCTCGGTTTTGGCTCCGGAGCTGAAAAAAAGAGCACTTCGCACATGCTGAAAGGCTGCACTTGTCGAGTTGGAGCTGCCAAAGCTCAACTTGGCTAATACCTCACACACTACTATCGTACTGGGAGGCTGCGATGTTCGCCATCTTAACCATCTTGACTCACGCAACCTATTCTCATCTCACCTATCCGTCTCTCTGGTCATCAGTGAATGCATCTGTGTGTCTAACGGTTAGCGCGATATATCTATCTGTGTATCCCTACAAGCATCGCGCCGCTCTATCGACATGTTCCCATCTGTGTCTGTAGCGTATTTACTGCCTAGCTATTATCTTTTAAATTTGTCTATCTGTCGAGCCATCTACCTGTCTATCCATCTATGTGTATAACATCATTCCATGTAGTCGCCACCCAATTCGCTTCTCCATCTGTCCGCTTATCTAGCTATCTATCAATCCGTTGTTCTTTCTATGCGTGGGTCCATGAATCTATCTACCAAATCTGTCTATATCTGCCCTTCCATAAATCTTGTTTTCAGCTTACACAAATAGGTAGCCATCTATCTGTCTCTCCACCTTGCCCATCAACCACATCTAGACATCCAAGTAATCAATCAGTGCGTCTATCTATCCTCCCTGCCAAGGACAACACTTCCAGGGAATCAGCGCGAACTCCGAAATCTGCCGCCCCCCGCTCGCTTGGGTCGTGCTCCAAAGTGCTGTGCCTGCTACGAGGTTCGATGCGGGGCCCTACGAAGTTCTGCGCCTGCCGCAAAAGATCCAAAGTTCCGCGTTGCCACGAAATGCGCACGCAACCCTTCAAAGTACTGCGCTTGCCATGCATATCAGCGCTCTGGTAAGACTTGCTCCAATCTGCCGCGCTGTCATGACATTGGGCGTGCGGCCCTGCAAAGTGTTGCGCCTGCCACGAAATCTGCACGTGGCTCTCCAAAGTACGGCGCCTGCCACTCAAATCAGCGTTTCCGCCGAGACGCTGCAGTGCTGTGCCTGCCATGAGAACGTGCGACCACCAAAAGTACGGCGCCTGCCAAGAAATTTGCTCAAAGCGCTTTGCCTGTCACTCAAAGTAAGCTTGCCACGAGCCCAAAACGTGCAAAGTACTGAGCCTGTCACGAAATCCAACTTTAACGCGTTTACGACGCGTGTCCAAAAATAGCACGGAACTGCGTGGCTAGAAATCAAACTTTAATTAAAGCTCCAAAACAAGCCGGTTGCACGACAGGGCCAACGAAAATGACACTCTCGCAAGCGCTTCCATGCGCCTGGCCACCCCGGAGACGCAAATCATATTGGCACGGCGACGCACACGCGAGACCTTCCAATACACGGCGCCTGCAGAGCGGAACCACACGCGACGTCGCAAAAGCGACGATTTGTGCACATGCCAATGATACCAACATTTTGCAAGTCACAATACAAATCACACGTTCTGAGCTTTCCCTGAGCTTTCCCCGACGACACGGAAACTTTTTGCGCCGCGGACGCTTGCGGGACGCATCTGGCGAACACATGCTGACCCCCAGCCCCTGCTACGCATTCGTGAAAAGGTGTTCGCGGCAAAGTACACGTCACCAGCCAGACCTGAAATGATGCTTCAAAGGCGAGGTCATTTTCCCCCCCCCCGCTTGTCCCCCCCAAAAAAAGAACAAAAAGTCGACCGCGGGCCTTCTGCTCAGATTTGCAGTGCTGCTCCACTAGCTGGCGTGCTTGCACCCGATGTGAGGGGATGCCCCAAAGCTTGACGACACCTAGGCTTTGCCACCGGTGCTCCCTGATGGCTCTTCCCGTCCTATTCCCGTCCGATGATCTGGCCTCATTATTTTACAATGGCCAAAGTCACCCAAGTGGTGGGGTCAAGGGGAACAACGCCAGTTTCTGACTTTGATAATCCCTAGAAACAATGAAAAACATGACCCGAGATGACTGTAAGTGGAACTGGCTATATTGCTGAAATCACTGGACCGGAATGGGATAGAAGAGAGGAAGAAGAAACAAAACGCCTCATGCTTGCAGATACTTGCAGTTGTGAGAAATCTACGGGAACAAGACAATGTATGGCAATACCAATCTGAAATAGAGAATCCTGATCATCCACGCCATCATTTGAGACTGCTCATGCCGTGATGACATGGCGGGATGAAGGTTGACATGAAGCCGGGCTTCTGTCTGCCCATAGACCAAAGGGCGGACTGAACTGAGCTGCCCTATGGGCGAGAAGATCTGTCGAGGCTCGGAAAGAACACCACGAGTCACCGCAGAACACGTTCTAGGTCCTCCAGTAGAGAGGTTAGAATATGGGTACCCGATTTTTTCTGTAGTCTATTTTAGTAGAGGAACCCTCCCCCAAAAAAGGGTAAAAGGGCTCCACCATTCAACATCTAACGCAAGGAACAATGAATTCTACTGAACGATGGAGCCCGTGCCAGTTCACGCTAGTAGGAAGCAGTCCTTCGACCTTCGTGGACATGCTGACAATAGATACAGAGCTCCCCGTATTCTTGATTGGATTTCTGAACCGACAATTTATGATGGCGAGTTGCTCGATACATGCCGGGAACCGTATCCATTGCCATATTTGTGCATTTCACCCATGAAAGACCATGCTGGCTCGAAGGTTCGTGCAAGAGAGAACCCTGCGAAGGATTTTGGCCCATGATTTTATCTGCTGCGTTGTGATGGGCCATTGGATATCATCCGACAAGCCCGGCACATCTTGTCAAGTGCACCCCTTGCCGCCAAGTTGCAATATTCATTTTCCCCAGCATCTTTGGCTGCGACAAGAACTGGCTGGCAGCCAGTCACCTAGCAAACGTCAGCAGGAGTCTGTCTCAGTCTGCAAGCGGAGTCATGCAACTATTGGTAAGTAAGGGCATCAATCCCCATGGGGGTGGGGTTCAAAAGACTTTCTCCCACCCCGAAGGGCCCCCCTCCAAAAAAAAGACGGGTGAGAGCAAGCACCAAGCTCACTTTCGCCCACATGGAGCTGGAATGCCTGGAAGGCTCGAAAGGGGCTTTGATCTCATCACTTGAGGCTGGCATTTAGTTTTGTGCTGGCTACGCTCAACACCGCTCATGGGCATCCACACAAACTGAGTAGCAATAAAACAACCAGGTAGCAACAAAACAACCAGGTTTCCTGAAGCCACCTAGCTGAAGCCAACTAACTGGTCTGGGCTGTGCGAACTTGAGCCGAAGATGCTCACAGGCGTGGAGTCCAAATTGCTATGCTTCATCCAGGAGGGGTCCCACAAGAAACAACAACATGGGTCCAAAAGACCGCACGCGAATCATGTGCAAACGACCGAGGGCTCCTGCACTGCGTGCGCCTGAGCTAGCATGGTAATCTTGTTTAGTAACTGGAGACTTGTTGTTCATAGTTTCTGCTGGAACGATAATCACCCGCGGCGTCTGGACATCTCAGAAGCCCTGGGCATCGAGTCATTGCCGACAAACATGTCACTTATTTGGCCCAGCAAATCTTAGCTTCCTTGAAAACAAAAATATCGACCTCCATCTAACCGCCTTGCTAAACTGTGAAAGCAACATACTTTCATTACAAAGTACGGGTGCAAATTTCCTGAAAACATCGTGCGCCTATGAACAACACACGTGGCGCGGGCGGAGTAACGCCGCAGGCAAAGCGAAGCTGGCCTGCTGCAGCAACCGGAAATTCTCACCGCCGGGGCCTGAGGCGTCGGGCGCAAAGTGCTTTGGGGCCAACGAAGTGCATTTGGGGCAGTGAAGCCTTGGCCTGGTTCCGTTGGACTGCCTTGGGGTTTTTGGGGGTGGTGTCCTTTGGATAGAAACTATGGATATTGTGAATATATATAGACTGTGTTTTCATGATTCTACGTGGAAGCACTGAACTTGATTGGGATCGTCAATATCCTCGCCTAAGAACACTATCCAAAAACATGGGTACACACACATACATATGCAACTTTTCTGTATATCTGTATAGCTGCCTAGATCACGTTAAACCAATCAGCAAGACATCCCAAACAAGAGCAAGTCAACAACTTGCTTGACGGCCATGGCAGTTGGGCCGAAGCCTTCATAAAAGAAGCAAGACACCTTGACGATCAAACTTGATGGTAGTTTGTTGTCAACTGGACAACAGCGCACCTCCCAATCTAGTGCCTAGTGCTGTGAAAGCACAGGGCATTCAACCTTCTGTGCAGAGCAGCCCGCCCTCGTAGCCTCGTATCTGCCTCGGCTCGATTTATCTAGCAAACAGTAAAAATGCGTTCCCGGCGCAAAATTCATGGCTCTACGGTCTTGCAAGCTGGACCCCGGAATCCACAACTCAATGAATAGGAAGTTGCTGCCACAGTTGCTGTAGGCAATTGAGGCAAGCACCGATCAAAGATTTGGCAAGATGCGAAGGCACCTGGCTGAGTGCGTCTTTCAAATGCGGGCGGCTGGCGGTTGAACACTTCAATCGCTGTCAATTTTTAAACAAGGTCGAGACTCACACAGCACACTGCAAAGCAGCTGTAGTAATTCACTGGCTCGACGTACAGGATCTCAGCAAAAAGCCGTCAATATCATATGCTTGTCTTGTCCCTTGGGCTCCACCCGAATTGTGTCAGTATTGTGATAGACGTTTCTCTGCCCAGCTACAGTTTCACTGATCTGGT